TAGCAGAGGTATTGACGGTAGAGATACTGGTATTTCAACAATCTTACCGAGTACATTTTTAGAAAGGCTTCAACCTTACTTTACCCGAGTGGACCAAAAATTACTACCCCGATCAATTATACCAACCAACTTTGGAAAGCTACATCCTGAACACGTACAGTGATAAAATGAACAGACTGAGGGGAGGTAATTTAACTTGTTTACAAGCATTTATTTACCTATTCCCACCTGTCGGGGTCGAGGTAATGACTTGGTGCAGTGGTGTTATTTTTGAAATGGTGAGAAAATACAAAAAGTATCACCGTTGTTTCAAAAGATGACCCGACAAACGTATTCATAAGCAATATTTAAAATTGCTCGACGTTGAAACATATGGCTGTTATTGAAATTACAATTGACTATTCATTGGAATATTTGTACGAATTTTTGTCAACGGATCCCTGGTGCATTTTACAGTGTGTTTGTAAAGAAGCTGTTGTCCGATTGGGAATCCAAAGCAACCGATACTCTGGAAATAAAAGACATGAGGGCGTATTTATACGGCGGGCATGATTCTACTATTGTCAATATAATGAGAGCCTTGAAAATATGGGATATTCAATTTCCTGGTTACGGAATCACTATATTGTTCGAACTATCGAAGGATAAACACTCTGGCGAATATGGAATAGAGGTAGGCAAACAGAATAATTTCAGATATGAGTAATAATGTTACCTCTTGCAGTGATAAGGTCCAGAGGTTAGAAAAACCGAATTTCAAATTCGCGAATCTGTTTTGAAAATGCATCAATCTTCATGACCTTCAGAATACATTTAATCATTTCACTATACATATAAATATACCAGGAAAGTCACAAACGGGGGCACGTTTTTTTTTTAAATTATGTAGGTTATTCTACAAGATGTTAACTTAGGACTTAGGTCCGTATCGTCAGTCGTCCCTACAATTGTAGGGCGCCTTTATGGCCTCCTTGGTTGTCATAGTTTTCTACTTCTCCGTGTCAGCGCTCTATTTTGAGGTTATGTCACAAACATCTATTTGCATCTAATTGTGCTTGCTTTTGAGTTATATCATGTTTTATCAGCCTGAAATTTCCTACAATTTAAAAAGAAAACATATCTTCACAATAGGAGAGCGCTGACGCTGACACGGGACAAGTGTAATCTAGAAATTTTTGAAGGAGAGAAAGGAGTATGACAATCTAGGAGGCCATAAACGCGCCCTACAATTGTAGGGACGACTGACGATACGGGTCTTAGTTGTGCGTGTTGCCTAAACGGCATGAGGCTTGTTATCAATCTTTGGCTTTGATGTGATGTAAAATCTGCTTCTGAGATGGCATTACTGGAGGTCTAAGCTGTAAGTTGTATGTGTTGATAATAATTACATTGGGTTCTTTTCTCAAATACACTTAATTGAGATTCAAAGCTAGACATTAGTTGCGCATCCACTTTTTCTTATCCATTCTGGAAATTACATATACAAATTTGCTGAATTTCAAAAATGAGAGAGATAAGAAATAATTATATTACAAGCCATATACATGCTAACAGTAATTACACCCAGCGCGGGCGCGGTGATGATTTCCCGTAATTCTCATCAGTTTTTCGTAATTTATAACCTCTCTTCAGAGAGCACAACATATATATAATCCGTCATATTTGGCATATCCAGTAATGATTTTTCCACACAGCAAATATCACTGATTTTATACACAAGCAGACCAATACACACAATCATCCAGATGCGATCTGCTATTCAACCAACTTTCTTCTCAGAGATAAAAACTACAGACCCGGATCACTCAGCCTCACAAAACTATGCAACCAATAATGCGTAGTTTAGTTGAGCGATTCCTCCATAGATGGACGTTCATAACGATCCTAGTGAGCAAACGTGGAATGACTGTTTGCGCCCTAAAAACTACCTAGTCTGCAAGTTGACACCTTATAAGGTTTTTTTTTTTGGCGGTTTATAGATTTTTTACATGATACCCCTGATGGAATCAGTGGCTAAAAAGCCGAGCCGAGTCAGTTGATTTTACGTGTTTTCAGGTATATCTAAGAAATTCCACGAAACTGCCACCATTCAAACTAACAATTCCTGGGTGTTCCAGCTTCTGTCCACTAAGCAAGGTGAAATATCTGACTCAGGAAATAATTCCAGTCGACTGGGATGAGGAGTGCAAGACTGACAATCCAGATTTTGTTGTACCAACACCTGGAGGTCCTTAAATATGGTGCGTTAACCATTTCAAGAGCTAGGAGAAATAAATATTAAAATATTACGATTTTTTTTTTTTATATCGAAACAGCCGCGCAGGCAGAAGCCTAAGTGCCGGAACACCGCGGCTGCTATGATGATCCCAAAGAAATTTTGTTAATACGATTTTTGAACTGCCTAAGGTTAGTAGAACTGGGAAAAGCTTCCTCCCGTAGTTTGTTCCACAATCTAGACACCCTCGGGACAAAGGAGCGGTCGTATCGACCAGTTCTGGATGTACGAAGTTTGACACGGTTAGGATGGGACGCCGAAGTCAGGCGGGTCTGTCTGGCAGGCACATCGCGCGGCGGCATCGTGGAAGAGAGCTCTGAGGAGCAAAGCCCGCCGTTGGTGTAGCGATAGAAAAGAGCTAGATCGCCGACGGCCCGCCGGTGCGAAAGAGTCCCGAGACTGTCTGTTAGAGAAGAGTCATCGATCAGTCGGACCACCCTCCTCTGGACAGCATCGAGCATGGACAATGTAGTCGGGGCGGCAGCACCCCAAATGTGTGAGCAATACTCGAGGCTAGGCCTTATCTGGGCCTTGTATAGAGTGAGAAGGTCATGCGGAGAAAGTACTTCTTAGCCCTAAACAAATAGCCTAGCTTTTTCCCGCAAGCTGCAGCTATTGAAGAGATGTGTTCGGCCAGATCAGGTCCTCGGTGATCTGGACTCCGACCAGCCGAAATGAATGGCTCTTTGGTAGAACTCGACCGTCCATCGAAACTGTATGAGCCCTAGGACGCTTTTTGTTCGTCAAAGTACAGTACTGTGTTTTGGAAGCATTGACTGTAACAAGATTGTTGCGTCCCCCAAGCAGTGATAGCCTCCAGGTCTCTTGTCAGAGAAGAAGTCGTCGCTAGTCTTCTTTTTTCCAGCTCAGCGGCAGAAATCGGCTTGTCACTCTAATTCCTGCATGTAGTGTGCTGTCATCAGCGAAGCTATGGATTGGGTTGATCGTGCAGGAAAGGAGGTCGTTGATATGTAGAGAAACAGTGTTGGAGCCAAGACCGATCCCTGGGGAACACCCGCGTTGACGTTGTTGGATGAAGAGGAGAATCCGTCAATTACGACGGATATCTTGCGGCCAGAGATAAAGGTCAGCCACCCATCTGCAAAGCTTTTCTGGGAGGCCGTACGATGGAATTTTTGCTCAAGAGGGCAGCGTGCCACAGCTAATCGAACGCTTTCGTGATGTCAAGAGCAACGACATGACCCTCACCATGAGACTGGATGAGTTTACTCCACAGTTGCGTGACGTAAGCTAGGAGGTCCCCTGTGGATCGTTGGTGCCGGAAGCCGTACTGCCTGTCGCTAATCAAGCTGTGACGTTCGAGGTAGTCCAGAAGCTCGCGATTTATGCACCTCTCCATCACTTTACTTACAACAGAAAGCAGAGCTATAGGCCTGTAGTTGTAAGGGTCGGTTTTAGATCCTTTTTTTGGGATGGGCTGTACATGAGCAAATTTCCAGTTTTCTGGGAAGGTGCCGGATTCATAAGATATCTGGAAGAGACGCGAAAGAACTGGAGCAAGCTCAGCTGCACATCTCTTCAGTACAATGGCAGGAACCAAGTCCGGACCAGAAGCTTTGTTGATGTCGAGCGACAAGAGCACTCGTCTTACGGTCTTATGCCTGAATGTTACCTCCCGCATAGTGTGGGGAACCCTTTGAATTGACGGCACTTGGGCGTTGGTGGGGACGTCCATGGTGGAGTTGGCAGCAAAGATCTTGGCTAGCACTTTCCGCCTGTGCCTTTGAGTCGATACAATAGTTCCATCCTGACACGTAAGTGGTAGAAGGCTACTGTGTGAGAAGTTCTTTTCAATCTGCTTGGCCAGCGTCCAGAAAGACCGACTGCCATTGCGTTGTCGGCATTACCCTGGCCTAACTTTTATATCATGCTGGATTTTGGCATGCGAACTGCTTCGTTATATTTGTTTCTGGACTCGACGTCGGCTTGTCTGTTCTCTAGAGTGGGGTTTTGTAAGTAGGTTCTGTGGGCCTTGATCTTCTGCTATGGGATCCAAGATGTTGGTCGCAAGATCCAAATCTTATCATTCAGTACTTCTCGCCCGTAACTTTCTTAACTTGTTAGATATACGACGCATAAGGAAATGGGAACTTCGAAACATTTTTTTGTTATGTTTCGTTGAATAAAAGTCAAATGTCTGTTCATCATTATTTTAAAACAGTCCTTATTAAAAAATGCCTATATGTATAATTTTTGTTCAATAAGTTTGCAACTGTTATCAAGAGATCGTTTTCATCAATTAATCACTTGTTTTAGTAAAAAAAAAAGTAGTGTTATAAGCTGTATACTGAGTAGTCTGTAATGGATGCATAAAAAATCATATTTCAAACTCTTGCATTTAGACAAATATGCCTTAGTACAATTTCAGTATGTATCTTGTGGTGAAATGTAATTCATACTACACATATCTCAAGTCTTTTTTGCTATAATCGACATAAACACTGGAAATCATGTAGTAGTAGATACGGGGGTGGTCCCAGAAGTACCCGGCCTGAACTAGAGATGGCGATAGTTTGTTTGCAAATATTGTATTAGAAAGTATAACAAACTTAAAGCATATGTGTCAGTTGAAGTATTTGTTTTGGCAGCCATCAGTACTGAACGTTTTTCAGTGAATTTGTGAAAATGGAGAAAATTGGTAATCGTTATGTGGTACAATACTTTTATTTCAAAGTCCTCAGCCCAACCAATATAAAAGCTGAACTGGATTCTACTCTGGGTGAGTCTGCTCCTTCGTTTACAACAGTAAAGTATTGGGTAGCAGAGTTTACACGAGGCAGTATGAGCTGCCAAGACGAGCATCGCAGTGGTCGGCCAAACGAGGGTGACGACTCCAGAAATGGTGAAGAAAATTCACAAAGCGGTACTGAATGATCGTCGACCGAAAATTTTGACATGAGAAAGCTGTGTGCAAGATTGGTGCCGCGATTGCTCACAATCGAGCAAAACAGTTTCGTGAAGATGTTTCGATTGAGTGTTTAGCGATGTTTCACAGCAACAAAACAGAATTTTTGCGTCGTTTCATAACCATGGATGAAACATGGATCCATCACTTCACACCCGACACACAAGGACAATCATAACAATGGACTCAAAAAGAACAACCGGCTCCAGAGAATGCGACGACCGTTACATCTGCAGGCAAGGTTAATGGCGTCGGTTTTTTGGGATAATTTTCATTGACTATCTTGAAAAAGGTAAAACTATCAATGAGGAGTATTATGCGAACTTATTGCAAACGTTTGAGCGATGGAATCAAGCAAAGAACGGCCGCATTTGGTTAAGAAGGAAGTGGTTTGTTTCATCAAAACAATGCATCAGCTCACAAATCCGTTATTGCAATGGCCAAAATTAACGAATTAAAGTTTGAATTGCTACCTCATGCACCCTATTCACCAGATTTAGCCCCCTCGGATTATTTTCTGTTTCCAAACTTGAAAAAATGGCTCAGTGGTCAAAGATTTTTCCAACGATGAAGAAATGATGTCGTCAGTCTATTTTGAGGAGCAAGGCAGTTCTTATTATAAAAAGGGTATCGAACCTATTGAACATCGCTGGGAAAAGTGTATAGAGCCCGAAGGAGATTATGTTGAAAAATAAATACATTTGTTTTCTTCGTTGGGTCGGGTACTTCTGGGACCACCCTCGTAGTGCTGGGAAGACAAAACCTGGCGACTAGGCCACCGTTGACCCTATTTACACATCTTGCACTTATCTGGCTAAATAAATTGGAGCATCGCTATGTATCGAGTTAAAAGGAGACTATGTTGAGAAATAAATCACCACTTTTCCAAAATTTCCGTTTCTCTTTTGTAGGCTAAGAACTTGACGCTTGACGAAGACCGGAGAGTGACATACCACGACATACCCTACACCTTCATGCATCAGCAGTTTATTATTCAATTCTGCATTCTCAATCAAGGGCGAATCCAGGGGGAACGTGACCCGCCTTATTTCACGAGTTTAATCCAGGATTTCATTTTGTGCATCCACTACGAACCACCATGTATTTAGTTAAAATATCGTTTCATTTAAAAGGATGCAATAAGTCTTATTGAATTCGAACCTTGATACTATTAAAATCTCAAACCAATTCCATTCACCGACTTATCATCATTTCACATCATATCAGATAAAAATACTTATATTTTTACACCTAACGAATAAATTAATAAAGGGTTATCTACAAACGGCTAGGAAATACTTTTGAAAAATCTACTACCAACCTCGCCACAGAAAAAAGTCACTAACAGTCCGTTGGAGCCTCGGTTGGCAGCGGTGGCGTGAAAAGATGTGAGATCTTGACTTTACGAAATAACGAATATGAACGCGAAGATCACAGATAACGATCCTATTGCTATAGTCATTTTCTCGTGGGCTGACGACGGTTTGAGAAATATCCTCACGTTCATTTCCGTCCACGTGGATTCCGTCCAGGTGCTGTATTGTCGGAAGTCCAGTTGTAATCTACAAAATGATAAAGGGATACACCGTTCAAAAGATTGTTAAGAAGCTCGTTTTTATTTTTCTATGACTATTTCACTCGTCTTAATTTCTACCGATCATAAACGCGCAATTTTGAATTACAAATGGTTACTAGATGGAAAAATTGCATGGCAGCTCCTTCGGCAGTAGTTTTTTTGAGTTTACCCGCGGCAAAACTTGACAGCTGTTGTCTCCAAAAATTACGTATGCTTGTATAATACGTATTCGGGTATCTATTTTTTTTCCTGTGAAAAAACACAGATAATTAATCAGTTTCTCACCTGGTATGATGAAAGCTGGACTTATAGCGTCCGTAGTGTTCATAGTAACTTTATAGCATCTTGTAACATTCAACTCTGAATGCTTTTCGACATGTTGTAATACTTGAATGCCTGAAATAAAAAGTACCTTTTACATAGTATCAAAACAATAACGGCAAAACACCTACGTAGTTTTCTGGGATTATTCGTACAGTTGATGTTGGATTCGCCTGCATCATCTGCTGTCAACCAACCCAGGGTTAACGACGTTAAAGTGGTGGCATAATTTGCCACATGGTCTACACCAACGTAGAGGCTTAACGGCACTTTTGGAAGTTTCTGAATGGAAATCAATATATTAGCAGATTTGGGTACGTCACTAGGGAAACATTTAGGTGAAATACCAATTTGGCTAATGATTAATGAAAAAATTTAAGTAGTTGAATCATTTAAATACCTGGGTATACAGGTGACGGGAAAATAGATGGGGAGCCGGTGGGGGGAGATAGTACAAGCCAATCTGATCGATTTTATTATAGGAAATTAGCGTTTTCTAATTTTAAGATTCTATAAAATTACGTCCTTTATACGTTAACCAAGTCATAAAACTTGAAAATTGGGTTTCATTTGGTTTTTTTGTTTTAACAATAAAATATTCTAAATATTCGAAAATTGGTACTCAAATGTACATTATTGACGTTATCTCATGCAGTAAGCTTCAAAATAGTTCAGTTTTTGTAAAAAAAATCTTCGTTCATCCCAAAAACTCAATTTACTAGATGCAATCGCCTACAAATTTTTTCGTGCAAAAGAATTTTAAAACATCTACGTTTCATTATCTTTCAAATGAGGTATCAAAGTCACGAACCGGTTTAGAAATGACAAAGATATGAGTGAAAAGAAACAGGTAGAGCCACGACATCGGAGATCCATGAGGCGCATGCAAATTTTGTCGTTTATTTTAAACGCTGATGTTGAAGAGCAATTATTTAAGAAAAATTCTATGGACCGACGAATCAAAGTTTGATAAAGACGGCATAACAAACTACTATAACGCTCACTATTGGCGTGAACGTGCAGTGGGGAATCTTCATATAAGGAGACCAAAGGGATCTCAAAGGCGATTTTGTCTGAATGTCTGGATGGGCATTATAAATATCTGTTTGGTTACTACCCGACAACTTAAATGGAGAAGCCTACGGAAATTTCTTAAGAAATATTCTATTTGAATTACTTGAAGGTCGTGCCGCATACACACAAGACACAAAATGATTCTTCAGCATGGTGGGTGTCCAGCACATTTCAGACTAAGTGTTAGAAATTGGTTAAATGAGCAGTTTCCGAATCGACGGATCGGTAGAGGCGGACCAACCCCATGGCCAGCACGCACGCCCGATCTCACACCTATGGACTTTTTGTGTGGGGTCGCATGAAAACTTTAGTATACCCTGATCAAAATCCTGTACCCACAATAGAAGACCTCAGAAACACGATAATACATGCAGCCCAAGAAATTCAAGCCTCTCTTAGGAATTCGGCGGTAGTAAAATCCGCTGTCATAAGAAGAAATAGAGGGCGCCATATTGAAAATGTATTATAAAAATAAAAAAATGTAGTTTCAAATAATTATCCTGTATTAAGGTATGATTTTGTAAGTGTAGTATTTGTATTGCTTTTTCCTTCTTCTTCTTATAGTCATATTTTTGCCAAATCTTAATCGATTTGTGATTTTTATACCTCATTTGAAAGGTAATGAAACGTGGATCTTTTCCAATTATTTTGTGCGAAAAATTTGTATGCGACTTTTTCTAGTAAACTGAAGCTTTTGAGATGAACGAAGATTTTTTTAACAAAAATCGATCTATTTTGAAGCTTACTGCATGAGATAACATCAGTAATGTGCATTTGAGTATCAATTTTCGTATTTTAGAATATTTTTATTGTAAACCATAAAAAAATCAAATAAAACACCCAATTTTCAAGTTTTATGTCTTGGTTAACGTATAAAGGACGTTAATTTTATAAATCCTGAAAATCAGTAAAATTCGAAAAAGGCTAATTTCCTATAATAAAATCGACTCAGATTGGCTTGTACTATCTCCCCCCACCGGCTTTGCATCTATTTCCCCCTCACCCTGTATATGTGGATAGTAAGCCACTGTTTAACGAGCATTATGAATACATTATTTCCAAAATATCAAAATAGATAAATTACTTCTGTAGAGTTTCCGACAATCTTAGTATGTACTCCAAACAAAAATTTGAATAACACTATAATTCTCCATTTTTATATAAAATAAAGCTATGAGAATCATTTTAAATAAAAACAAATATGCTAGGATTAAGCCTATGTTAGAAGAACTGCAGTGGTTGTATGTAAAAAATTTCATATGTTATTTAGTTCTCATTTTCATATTCAAATAAAAAATCATTTATTACCACCACATTTAGAAAACTTCTCAAAATTAAATAGTCAATATCATAAATACGAAACTAGAGGCGGTATAGATTTTCATCTGCAATAGTAGCATACCTAGCAAAAATATAGTTCAAAAGGAGTATTAGAATTTAAAATGTTTAAGGTAAAATTAAAAAATCACTTTACGAATACTCAAAATGTATAGTGATGTAATTTTAATAGTTAAGAATGTAAAATTACAGAAAATGGATTATACAAAACTGGCATTGTATCATTAAAGCTAAATAAATCTTCAACAAACAAACTTACCCCTTTCTGAGTAGCTCTATGTACTTTGCAGTTTGGATCTTCCAGATAGCACTGGAACAGCTCGTTTACCAAAACAACGTCCGCTGTATATTTTCCTGAATAGTGTTTCCCGGTTATCGTCTCATAGACACGGTTCCCTATGACTTCCGATACGTTCGCGATGAAATATTGTAAACTATTCTGTTCGGTCGCGTTAGGATCATACGTGAATCCGATATTGACTGCGTCATCGAAAATAGAGTTATAGAAGTGGTTCGTGTAGCTGGTTTCGTGATCCGATATTACTAAACCTGGAAATGACGGTAACTTCTTCATGAATGTGTGCAATGATGCCGGCGGCATACTGCTGGGTACGTCTTTTATTTTTTCCGAGTAGTTACGCAGTTTTGAGTAAAAACTGTCAATCTACAAAAAGGAAAATAATTAAAAGTATTCCGATATTTATTTCGCCGCTGCGTACAGTACAAATTTGTATGAAGTTTCAAGCAGGAATTGTTAACGAAATTGCATTACTATATTACAAAATTATTTAATCAATAGAGTCAAAGAACTAAAATTGGCGATACACCATCAAGCATTAAAAACATAACATTTCGGTAGGTGTGCCACAGGGTAGCAAATTAGGTCCATTACCATTTATTTTATTTATTAACGATATTCCTGATGCAAAATTCAAATACTTGCTGATGATACATTAATACATACAAGTCGTGACCAAAAATGAAACATCATATACAGGATACGTAAATTTATTTTCCTCGAGAGTTCCATTAAAACGATACGGGGTGTTGAAGTTTAAAAACAAAAAACGGTTTTTTTAATATCTTCAAAACCGAATGAACTAAAATTTGGTATGTGGATTATCTAAGTATTACCCACATTCAAATTCTTTACCTAAAATTAACGTGCACCAGTGGCGGAGATACAGGGGATTATTTTTCCGAATAAAAATCGTACGCCACTGTTTCTTTTTTCGAAACGCGCAATCTTCCGAATTTTACCTTCACTTTGCTACCAATAATTACTTTTGTGTTTTTTCCTTGAGTGATTTGTTATCGTAAAAAAAATTGGTGATCAAAGCTTTATATCAATAAATTTTCAAAAAGACCACCATTCTGACGGAGACAAATGCCGCACCTTTTTGATAAAGAAAAACGTATTTCCGCGAAATTTGTTGTGTTTTTTAAAAGCGCCCAACAAAGAAAATCCAGGGGGTTCAATGAGTACCATAGTTATTCTCCTAGAAAAAGTACAGACTTCCATTTACAAAACTGCAGTAGCAATACAAAAAACACATCAGTATTCAGAAAGGATTGTACGAATTTAATAACTTAAATAATTACAGGGTGTCCCAGAAGTCGACGTCAAGCCGAAACCGGGTGATAGGCAAAGTCATAACAGCTATCAGAAAAATATTTAAAAAATTTTATGTATGTGTTTTGAAAATTATAGGTCTTTGAAAAAGATATAGAAATTTCACACCCTACGGCAGTCTGTCAACTCCTGTTACTACAAATATTAACTTTTTTTGGATTTTATTTTACAATGTAATGATGAATAATGCATCTTCAAACTGGTGTCTCAACCTTACTGCCAACTTTTCTCGTTCAGGAAAAATTGCCACTTATTTCCCAACCAAGTATTCCA